GGTATCAGCATGACTTCACTGCCTGTATAAACTTGCATGTTAAATATTTGGCCATTTATCTTTTTTCTCTCCTTTTTTGTATATTCACTGTAAATATTTCAGCCTCTTCTTCGGAGGGGGTTGGTATTTTTTGTATTCTTTCTACTTTCTTTTCATATTTGTATATATTCTGAAAATGGTCTCCTTTTTTGCAATTTGAGCCTACTTTTCCTAACGTGGGACATTTGTACTTGTCTCGCTTGTGATTTTTTCCACAGTATCTACATTTAATTATAGACTTGGTCGTGCTTGTCCTGTATGCCTCGAATTCTTCTTTCGCTTGATTAAATTCCTTAATCAACTCTAACTGTTGTAAAAATTCAACGCTAGCCTCCAAACCCATGTTACAACTTTGTAAAGCTTCCAGTATTTTTTGTTTGTGGTTCTGGTCTTGCAAACCTTCAATTATTCTAAGAAGAATTAATTCATCTTCTATGGTCATTTACTGAGTTCCCAACTTTTCAAACTCACAGTACATAACACATTCTTTTAATCTATGTAAGTATTGTATAATGGACTCATTTGGTGCTTGTCTTGTCTCTAAAAACTTGGTTCTTTCAGCAATGACCAACCTTTTCTTTGGTCTTATGTTCTTTTTTATAACTTTGACAATTGCTTCAAATGTCATTTCTTCTAATTCGCTCAGGTAACACATTGTTGAAAATTTCTTCACCACTTCGCGCCCAGCAGTAGCAAGAAATAAATCTGTTATCTTGTTTTCTCCTCCTTCGGTCTTGGTATCTCTCAATTTTTTTACTCTTGCAAATTCCACAAATGTTCTGATCCATGTCTCTATGTGCTCCGGATCTTCCAGCCCATTCAAGGATCCTATCAGTGACACCATTGTTATGTTGTCTATTTCTCTCTGAGTAGTATCAATCGTAGCACAGTTCTCCACATTACGTTTAGCAAATGTGTTCGCTGATGATTGCCCTTTGTTCACCCTCTGCTCTCTATTTATGTTGTCATTCTCATTTGCATATGATACTACAATTATGTTACATCTCTTCACAAAAATTCCATCCAAAATGTCCATGGCACTCTGGTAAGTTTTGCAGTGAGAAATATTGGTATATACAGATATGGAAACGTGGTGCATTAGGAGGCTAAGTCTATCCGTAATAGGAGCAGATGAACTATTTTCCAGTGCAAGCAAGACTCCTTCAAATAATCATTTCCAATATTGCCAGGTGTCAGTAGAAGATGGGTCTGCAGTGCCCAAGTCGAAATGTTCTGGTTTAAGGTATTTGTCCATAATTATGTTCAATAAATTGTAATGAAAACTCAGTCTAGTTCAGTTTAATGTAGCTTTATTGAACATAACTGAAGAGTCTTGCTATTTTGACTAAGACAGTATGTTTATTTATACAAATCATAAGACAGGGGAGGTAATCAGGTTGTCTTACCACAGGTGCTTATTTTGAAATTCATTGATCAAATTAGGTTTGACAACAAATTCATGAAAATTTTTAGATCCAAAAAAAATTTATATACACTTCCTGTTGCTTCTTTGGTCTAAATTGGGATCAATGATAGAATTCTAATTACTTTAAAAAACTACCTACCTCTTGTAGAAAAAACAATGGTCATAAGGGGGGGGGTCAAAAAGTGCAGTACTCACCGACAGGCCAGCTGTTTTTTCTTCTTCGGTCACCTCAAGGAAATGGATTGCGTGACTCTTTCTCAGCCGTTACACAGGGCAGTTGTGAAACTCATTCGCACCTACTTCGACTTCCTCTTTGTTCATCTGTCAATTCATGCGTCCAGCTCTATTGCACGCAATCCACTGAATGACTCCCGATTCACTCGTGTTCCCTGGCACCCCACTTTTTATGCTGTTCTAATACGGCCAAAATTTGCATGTGTGCAAATATCGTCTTGTTTTGGAGGATCAGTGCACATAAATTGGGACTTCAATAGCGGCCATATTTCTTTTTGTCATTACTTTGCAAGCAAGACCCGTTCGCACTCATTTCGAATTCTGAGGTAAGTCATGTCTTTCGTCACACCCCTCCCTGATCTCATGATCACAAAGGTGGCAGCCTGGCGACAGTTGTTTTCGACGGGTGCTTCTTCACAAAAGCCAGGAAGGGGGCTCTGCTCTTGCTCCCTTTTCGGGTGGATTGTCGGAGGGAGACTCTGCTTCTACTCCCTCTTTGGGTGGATTGACGCACTCTGCACTTTCCTCATCAAGCAGCAAACTTTCTGCTCTGCCCTCAGATGTGTCATTGGAATCTTCCTTGGACACTGAAACTGTGGTGTGGGTGCAGATCCTTAATGTGGCGGGGTATTCCATCCACCAGAAATGACTGTGGGCTGATCATTTTCATCACTCGACCCCTGTTGAAACTGGTGGTGCACTGACTCATTGGCACCTTGACCCACACGCGATCTCCGACCTGGTAAGTGCCAGGATCTGAAGACATCGTTGGGGCGTCAACCCCTTTCACCTTCGGTTTGTATCGGTGAATCCTGTTGGTGGGTGCCGTTTGGGGTGATGTATTGTCTTTTGGTGTCACATTGTACCAGTAGACTGCTTCCTGGACAGAACAGCGCATCCTGGCTGCGATTTGTTTTACTGTGCGGTGACATCGCTCTGCTATCCCATTCCCAGCTGGGGAATATGTGCAACAGAACCACAAGTTGACTCCCCACTTGCATGCAAAGGCTCTGAATTCCCTGCTGCAGAAAGCTGTGTCATTGTCCATGAGGAGCTCGTGGGGTGGTCCCCACTCGAAGAACACTGCTTTCAGCTGGCAAATCACGGTCGCCGAGTCCTGTCTTGCTTCTAGATTGAAAAAGGTGGCGGGCCGCAGTCTGTCAGCATTAAGAAATGATAGGCACCATAGTGGGTGATATCTATCCCCAATCTCTGCCAGTTCCTGCTTACCTCAAGTTTTCTTTTTCCCAGTGAGTTTATGCGGGGTCTATAGACTGGCATTCTTCATACGTCTGTAAAGCTGATCTAACGGCTGCTTTTGCCATGATAATAAGATTTCCACAATTTACATTTACACTGTTGTACCCTGTAGCCTTCATCGGGTGCTTGACAGAGGACATGATGGTCGAAACATGATAATAACAACAAAGTTGGCAGCATTGTTGTCTAAGTGTAAATAATATAGATAAGGATAACTCCTCATTCCAGAAATTCAAAAAGAAAAATTCCACAAACAAAATCATCAATGGCCTGATTACAAAAATCCACAACTTTTTATGCCATGACAGTAAAAGAGTCTATTTATATATCAGGTGAACTTTGATTTTTGATTATTTCCATTATATGGATAATAACCATTAGAAAGGGAAACAGTTTTCATAAACTGAAAAACCAATTACTTTGTATCATATTTTTTGAGTAGAGTAACTTTTTTCATTAACACCTATATATAGCATCACTTATACGGCCTCTTCTCTCCCTCTTGTTATATTCATCAATCCTTTTTTTATCTATTCATCAATATTTCAAATGCCACTTTTTGTCTATCTAAAAATCATTGCACTTATAAACAAGCTGAGAGAAGAAAAAAATTCCATTTCTATTTACATGTATTTATAATTAATTAACCCAGCTTTATTATAATTATTTAATCTCATAGTTAGTTGTCCACTTAGGTGGATATCACTCTCTCTGAGATGTTCATGGCACTACTACATCTTTTAGTCAATCATCATCAGCCTTCCCATCATCCAACAACCTAAATTCAGAGTAGACATCAACTGAAACATTGCATGAGAAATGAATATTATTTACCCTTTGTCTTCCTCCCATTGACCTATACAAGAAACATGTAGAGGGTTTACCCACATCCCATCTCCGGTCTATGCAAATACAGATGATTGATCACTCTGTGTGTGTGTGTGTATATATATATATATATATATATATATATATATATATATATATACTAGCTTAAAAGCCACTTTATTGGGCAGCATTTAAGCTAGCTCCTACAGAGAGCTCTTGATTGGGCCTTCATCACTATAGGTAGGGAGTAGTAGATGAGATAGGCAACAATAAACTACAGAGGAACTCGAAATTGATCGCTGCATTTAAGTATTGCATTAATATTAAGCTTACCTTTTAAAAGTTCATTAATAATTCTTCTGCCAATTTAAAGACAATTTGGTGTACATAGGTCCTTATTTTCTATACAAACACTTATTTTTATTTCACTGGTATTCACAATTAATTTTGATTATTCCCAAATTTATTTCCAAGTTATAAAAAATTCTTATCATACAAAAAAATTTATCACAAAAAATCACATAAAAAAAATTACCAAAAACAATCACACTAATGAAAACTTGTGAATCCAAAATTTCTGGACCTGTCCCAGAATGTTTTTAATTTACTCACAGAGTCAGCCTGATCCCAAAATGGTATGACATGTTAGGCTAAGGCCTCTTGGGGTAAAGTTGTGGTGACACAATGACTTTCGCATTTATTATATAGAAGACAAAAAGAAAACTTTTCTTTACCAACACATTTCATCCTTTGAGGAACTTTATCAAAGTAAATGTATCAAAAAGATATCTTTTACATTAGGCTGTAAGTGTCAGCATGTGAAAGAAAAATAGTCAATCTGGTGTGTTTGGAACATAAAACCACAGATGGGTCATGAGTGTGGCCCTTCAAGGGTTTTATTTTCATACCTCAGTTTGGTGGCAAATGCACTAACAAGTATTTTCCAGCCTGGCAACACTTTGGTAGCACTTCTGATCTAGTGTTTAAAAGTTTATTAGATTCAGGGTATGATATTATAGCTAGCTTTTCTTTTTCAAAGGACTTACAAAATTTGTTACCACTTTTATAACCAGTAGTACCATTTTTTAAAATGATATCCAATTTATTTGAATTGGGCTCTCTACACTTTTGCTTTGTTCCCCACAAGTAATGTGGTATTATTTTTGTATCTCACATTTATTTTTCATATTTCATTTTTTAAATTTATTAACAGCATTGGAGGATATGAACCATTTTATGCTCCGACTGATGAGAAAATTTTTGCTAGGATCCTTCGCAATCAGTGGAAATTTGACTCTCCATTTTGGGATAACATCAGTAGTAATTGCAAAGTAAGATTCATTAAATTTTCAAATAAAATCTCCTAAAATTAATCACTATCATATATATTCTAAAATTGATATTACTTTTTGTATGTACAAAACTCTTGAATAAGTTGTTGAACAGTCTAAGATTTTAGATTGTGATCTGAACAAAAGAGAAAGAAAAGGAAAAAGTCATCTACACTCCTGTAATTTTTAAGTCAACCACACCTCTTTTTTTGGCATTAAAAAAAAAAAGGAATAAAAAAAAAAACAAAAGAAAGGGACAGCAGAAGGAAAAATGGAATGGAAATAAATAGACATATATATATATATATATATAATCAGGGCTTTAAGTTGCTCTCCTGAAAGGAGTGTGCTCTTGAAGCATACTCTTTTTTGATGGCACCAAGAAGAGGGCCCCTTTTTTTTTCACATAATGAAATACTTTAAAACGGTGTCTGCATTTTTTCTTTTGATCTGATTCAAAGATAAAGATTAAATTTTGGGGGCAGACAAATTGCTACACTCTAAGAAACTTTAAGCTTTGTTGGCTGGGTTCCTATCTTCATGTGAGTTTGCATGTCAGTGTCAGTTATATATATTTCATTTACAAATAATAAAAGTTGTTTTTGTTTTAAATAATTGAAATGACAGAAATGTTAATTCAGTTTTCTTTTTTTATTTAAAAAAATAGACACTTACATATCAATGGAGAGAGAAAAGGAGCGCACTCTTTTTTTTCTGGAGTGTGAACAGGAGCTGGAGCATCTCCTTTTTTATGAGAGGAGGGAAATGCACTCTATTTTGGGGTGTAGGAGCTGGAGCTGCTCTAGAATTTTATTAGAATGTAAACCTCTGTACATAACCTTTTAACTTTTTTCTCTTTTTTTCTGGAGTTGTAAGGTTCAGGCCATCACTTTGATTTACACAAAAAAATGAACAAAACAAAATAATACAATGTTACTTGCACTCTTCCATTTCCTTGTATCCTCTTCCACGCTTCTTCCCTTTCCTATACCCACATGACATATTCAATAGACAATCAAAACGTTTTTCCACATACCCCGTTATTCCTTCAACCATTCTCCTATAATGCAATCCCCCCTTGCAGTTTGTTACATTTTCTACTTCCACAATGACCTTTTAGCAGTAAAAAGGTAAGTTTACATTACTTTTTTTCCCCCTCTTCCTTCACAACACAGAGATGATGTAACAAATTATTACAATATTTACTGGTTACTGTGTATTGCTTTCCATGATGGATACAAACCCAAGGAAAATTACATGAATTGATGCATACATGCATCAGAATAGGAAGTGTAGATACAAATCATGAGTTTAACCAGTAATTTCTACAATATTCTAGAACTACTCATAGTTGTTAAGAACATTTGTTTCAGTAAGAGTAAATATAGCTATTCCTGATTTGTTTTTATTGTTTAATTAACCTGTCATTTAGAATAATGTCATGTCTCTTTTGATATATTGTCTATTTTTGATTTTAACAGGACTTGGTGTCAGCACTGCTTGTGAGAGATCCAGCAAAACGAATGTCAGCCCCTGAAGTACTTAAGCAACATTGGGTCATGGGAATAGCTGCTAAAGAAGAGCAAATTGTTGGAGCAACAGAAAGATTGAAGAGTTTTAATGCAAGACGCAAACTGAAGGTAAACTTTGATATTTTGTTGTGTAGAAAATATATTTTAATTATTGTAAGACACTGATTTTATGTGAAATCAGATATAATAGTTATTATTGTTATAAAAGGGTCATACTGTTTATATATATATATATATATATTAGTTCAATTAGATCTCATTTAAATATTCATGGAGACCTACTAGACTCTATCCATAACATACTTGTTGACAACATAAATATAATAGCATCATCTACATACAAAAAAAGGCTAAAAATAATGGAAGCCTTATTAATAACAACAAAAAAAAACACTCAATAATATCAACTATGAACATGTACACAATATCCTGACAGTGTTTTGTAAATGAGAACATTATATAGATACATACATACATACATACAACAAACTATTTCTTGTTAACAGTTAATATATTTCAACCTTGTGTAGGGAGACCATGGTTGTTTTCCCTTGGGTTGAGCTCATGGGAGTTTTGGCCCCTTTTAGAGAGTAGAACTCTTCTGTCCTTTTTGTCTTTGCTTCCGTTTTTTGGAGGAACGGCCTCTTTACCTTCCTGACCACCAGGGTGTCCACACATGGGGAAACTGGTCAACATGTGCATGGCCTAGCAAAAGAAAAAAGTACTTTCTATTCACTTATCTGCGGGCGATCAAACGCCATAAAGTTGGTATGTTATTTCTTTGTTCTAATTCTGTAAACCTCCTTGTTCCTTTGCGACAATATGGACAATCATTTGTTTTGGGACATATGTAAATCTTTTGAATGTATGTACGTAAGTTGTTTGCCTTATTAAATGTTTTGTTTGTTACACACGCGTATTTTGTCTTTCTATATTCGTATTCAGTGTTAGTGTATCAATGGCTACACTAATGCTAATATTAGTATCGGTGTGCTACTGGAAGGCTAAAACACGTTATTCTTCCTAACACAAAAGAGTCGGTAAACTCTGTGTGGCAGATACCAGCACACTAATACTTGAAAATGGCTAAATGTATAGCCGAAAGCACTCAGATAAAAAGTACATTCGAAGTCTTTATATAATTTATCATCTGAAAAGAAAAAAATTATTAGATCACATAAGAAATTGCATAAAAAACTAAATCAAAGCACCTTGTCTATCGTATTCAATGAAATGTGCATGAAAGAAGGATTGCTGCCTAAATACACAAATATATATATATATATATATATATATATATATATATATATATATATATATAAGCAAATATATGGATATAGATCCGACAGTATGAAGAAAAAAATGCTGAAAAAACAAGCAAAAATCCTAATATGCGATTATGCTGTTTTAATAATTTAATATCAACGTCGGACGTTTTTATAAGATAGACCATCTTCAAAACATATTCATATCTGTTTAATTAACATAGACCATATACAATTCAACATGTTGAAAATGGTCGATGGACATTAAAAGCAATATGTCCTGAAGATGGTCATTAACTAAAATCTTTTTATTAAAATTTTAAAACAGCATAATCGCATATTAGGATTTTTGTTTGTTTTTCAGTATATTTTCCTTCATATATATATATATATATATATATATATATATATATATATATATATATATAGTTTCCCCTAGAAGGGAGATGCAGGTTTGAATCTTGCCAGAAGGCATATTTTCTTTGTTAAGATTCAAGTGCACAGGTCAGTAGTCATAGATTTACAGTTTAAAAAAAGAGTTGTTTGCTCAAACATGTTGTCCATTAATAAATCCATTAATTCTTTAGAAATGTATATATACACACACACATACAGTGGTGGGGGGAAACAAATATTCATGCACATATTATTATTTCTATTAAATAAATATTTTTTTCTGTGTATATTTAGTTATTATGCATCTATGTACAGTTAATTATATGAAAAGTATGTTTATTCATTAGTTGGAAATGCAATAAATTAAAATTTGTATGTGTACAAATATTTATTCCCCCTCCCCACTGTGTGTGTATATATATATATATATATATATATATCTTTTTCATGCTTAAATGTAATTATCACACCATGAGACTGCCACTTTTATATTTACATATGCTCTATTCCTGATATTGAGCACTTTAAACCATAAATATACCATACCTTTAAACTATATTCTATAATAATTATTATATATATATATATATATATATGGTACTAAATAAAAGTTTGGTGAATTTGAACATTGTCTGCAAATACTGATTTTTTTTTTTTGCTTTAATTTTTTTAACACTGATTTAATGAAATCCTTCATTTTTCATGATCACATTTTATGAATTTCGATGATTGTGTTATAACAGGGTCATACTGTACATGTTTAACTCTCACAGTGTAATCCACAATGAAGAAATAATGAAGTATTACTTTTATTGAATTGATGAAAAACCAGCTAACCACCTTATCTTTCAACCACTTTCTCTATAGGATTATTCTTGAAAATGAATTTGCAAATGACTAGTTACATTTTTATTATTCTTATTCTTCTTTGGCAGGTTTTGTTTTATCAAAACTTTTCATTTTATCATTATAATTTTTTACATTAACAAATTCTTTTTACTTTATCCTACAATCACTTTATCATGTGCTTGTTTATTCACACAATAAATGTCATTGTGTTTGTTAACTCACTTTTTGTTTTTCTGATATTTTTTGCCTCCTAGAAGCAATACAACTGTTGTTTTTACAATTCCACATGGAAACCTATTTAGTGTATTAATTTGATCTAAAGATAAAAATATTATGCAAATTCTAGATAAATTGATAACAATAATTATAATTATATTTGTTTATGGATTTGCATCAAATAAACAAATAAAACATTTGAATATTTAATCTTAGAACACTTCTATACTTGGTTTTAATGTTAACCTTAGAACAATAGGTTAAAAGTGGAACACTAATGTTAGGTCTTTACTCATAATTTAAAATTTCAAGTTGTTTCTTTTATTTACATTATATGCACAGTATTATTTTTTAAATATATATAATTTGAAATTGTTAAATCTATGTAAAAATATAAAAAGGATTTTTTTTTAATTTAAAAGAAAGGGAGAAATATTTTTTGTTCTCACCAGCAAACTCTTTTATTCCCTCTCAAAAAATATTATTGCAGATCTGTTAAAATAATTTTTATTAAAAACATCAAATCTAGATCCCATTGATGCCACTTCTGCATTTATGTTCTCTAGCAAGCCAGAAAGGATGAAATGGACTGGGGAAACAAGTGGATATATATTAATGTTATCAAGAGATTTGACCATTGGGTTTATTGGAGAGGTGTTGGAAAAAAGTGGTTAAGTTCTAACTTGTGACTAGTTTCTCTCATCACATTTTAGTAGAGATGCATGTTTTGCTGGACATTTAAATCATGTCTGTAGAAAAATTGATGGCCAGAGCTAGAATACACACATTGAACGAAATGTTAAAAGGGGATCTAGCATAAGATAATAAGTCTTGAATAACAAAGAATCAAGAAGAGGAAAATCATAAATGCTCAAGGGGCAGTATTTTTGCTATTTTAAGAACTGCATATAATTAAGGATTGCATAGGTGAAGCTTGATTTGTTACAGATATGTGGGCAGGTTTTATAGCTAGTGTAGTCAGAGAGATAGTCAAGGGTGAGGCCACTGCATTGGTAGTTACCAATTCAGCCAAATAAAGGTGCTCCTGTTGAAAGTTCTGGAAGAAGGATGAGAACTTATTGATATGGGTTATTTCAAAGCTGGTGTAGGTTGAGCAGCATAAAAGTAGTCAGTGGAAAAGATATTGAGTATAGAGGCACTAGTACTGTAGAGTTAATAATGCATGGGGTGTGACTGAAACTTCAGGTAAATACTTGAAACAGTTGACATAAAAATGGGTATGGACATGATTAGTCAACTGGGATTGAGTTATGGTTAATTAGGAAAAAGTAAATTTTAGGTTAGTACAATGTATGTGGAAACATAAAAGACCTTAGAGATGTTTTTGTAAAGTTAAGGTCAAAGACTTCCATGCAGAATTTGGTAGCAAGCAATATATATTAAAAATGGTCCTGCAATAGAAACCCACTAAGGTGATCTGTTATGAGCTTTTCCTAGAATAGAAAAAGTAGATTTATTTAATTTGAAAAAGAGGTAGAGAGGTAACTATTCTCATACCCTGGAGAGAGAAGATAGAAAGTGGAGTGCTGCTACTGATGGCTATAGTTCAACCAACAAAAACTAAGATCTGGCCAGTATTGGACTTTCAAGACTGAACATCACACAGATACATAGATGTATTCAAAGCATTTGTGAGAGTGGATGTAGCTGCTTTTGATGATTGCTGATTTAAAATCAGCCTACTTATAGCTTTGTGTGGCTGAGGTACTGCAGAAGCACCAGCTGCTAAGTTACAAGGGCAAAAGGTACTGTCTGAATGAATTCTGCAGCAAAACTTCTCAAAATGATATTAGAAAAATAGTAAGATGGAGCCACTAACTCTGACATAGATGACATTTGGTGGACAAAAGAGAGGTGACAACAGTTTAGGTAATTTAAAGAAATTTGTGTTTAAATGCGAAACTGCTGAAAGGAGGAGCAGTTTTGAGGTTAAGATTGAAGTAAGACAATGTGAGTGAGCTGGTTTTTCAAAGGGGAAGTAAGATCTAGAAATTAATAGACAACCTAAATAGACTAATTATTCTCTATATGATGAAGGCTGGCAGGCCACTACTCTATTGCTGGATACATCCTAGATAGGAGGATTTCTAGCTAGAAAAGTTGACTGATGTAAGTAAAGAGGCTGTTGGGTAGGTGATCGGAAGTTGTGACAGGTATTAGTCCATTTACACATTCCTCAAGTTTTAGAGAAGCTCCCACTCCTGGTCCCCCTCCAAAATGGAGTATGCTCCCTTCCTCGCTATTTTTAACTGTTGCAAATTATATGTTGTGTATGTAAAATACTGCTTTTTACAAAATAGAAAAGCAAATCATTAGAGTGGGATCAAAGTGATACTTGTGGGGTCATTCACGTCATACCAGCAGGGATAGCCTTGTGTTCACATAGGGTAAAAAAAACATTCATATAAACAACACTAAAAGCATGTTAAATTGTAAATTAAAATCATACAATTTATTTATTTTTGTGTACTGGTGTGTGTGTATTTTAGTTAACAAGTGTTTTATGGTTGCATGTGATAAAAGGAAGAAGTCACTTCACATTATAACAAGCAATGTCCCGAGGAAAGGAGATGGACGTCTTGACTTTCCAAAGTTTGGTGAAGAGACTGAATTGCATTCTGGGAGAACTTTTCTTTTCCTTTTTGGTTTTATTTAATTTATTTTAAACAAAATTTTAATGTTATTTGTTTTATTTATGATATTCATTATTATTATTATTTTATATTTTATTTTTATTTATTATTAATAATAATAATAATGTCCCTACATCTTTAAACAGGCCAAGACAGCATGTGCATATCTTAGCCAACTGGGGACAATAGATTTTAAGCTTAACATATGATAATGAAAATTTGTTGCTATAACCGCGATAAATAATTTAGTCTTTTTAAAAAGAAGTATTTACTTTTATCCTTGGAGTAATTTACATTTGTTATTTAAAACACTGAAGAAAGTATATAGTTTGTTTATTTTATTTTCTTTGAACTTGCAGTATTTTAATTTTATTTTTATTATAAAAAAACAATATTTTCAGTGCAAAATTGACAAAACAAAAAGTGTTATTAAAAATTTTACCACAAAGCTAATTTGATGTTTTTCTCTGTGATATTGTTCTTCATGACAATGAACATATTGATTATAAAATTTAATTTTATAATAAATAGTTTGTGTTTTTCTAATGTATTTTAAAAAGATAAATTGAATTTTAATTTTACCACTCTTTGTAAACAGAAGACAAAAATGTAACTTTTTTCACTACGAAATTAATGAAAAATGTTATTTATTAAGAATTTTATCACAAAGTTAATGTCATAATTAAATTCAGTAAATAATTTGATATTTTACAACTGTTCTTTAAAATAAACAGCAAAAATGTAAAAGAACAAAATATCACATTGTTTTCTTTTACATTTATGCTGTTTAGTAAAACACTTTTAATTGGGAAACTTACTAAAAAATGTTATTAAGATTTTTGTCACAAAAAGTTAATATTTTTCTCTATAACAATGAACATTATAAGTATAAAATTTATTTTATTATGAATGTTTTTTGTTCCAATGTTTTTTGTTTTAAATATGAATTTTAATTTTACCTCCATAAATAGACAAAACAAAATATGTAACTTTTTTGTACTATTTACATTCAGACTATAGATAAAATAAATGATTCGGTTCAGAATTCCCTGTAGGTTACCCAGATCAATATACAGAGGGCACAACAGCTGAAATGTTGTCATAACAACAACAACAAAGATAAAGACAATAGTTTGAATGTACAAGGTAACCAAAAACGTTCTGTCCGTTTTTTGATTAGTCATTGAATGAATTTGAAATATATATGAAATGCTTGTAGCAATTGTTTTCAAATTCAGACAGCTGGAAATAGGAACATCAGATGTTATAAAAAACGTGCACTGTACCCGGCCATCAGTTATAAGCCGGACAGCTGTGAGAAGTATGGAAGTGTCTAGAGATCTCGTTCGGGGCTGTTTGCTTTACGACTTCAAAGTGGGCAGCAGCAGCTGCATCAAGTCGCCTCATATGTCAAGCGTTTGGGGATAGTGCTGTGGATGAACATACTGCAAGGCGTTGGTTTCGAAAATTCAAGTCGGGAGATTTGTCTCCCCATGATGAGCCTTGCAGTGGACAACCACAGGTCTTGATTGACAGAGTCCTGAAGGCGGCCATTGAAGAGGACAGTAGTCTAACGTGTGGTGAACTTGCAAGACAGTTCAACGTTTCCAATGAAACAGTTAGACTTCACCTGCACCGCCTAGGTAAGACGTACAAACTGAGCCAGTGGGTTCCGCAAACGCTGTTGGAGGTCCACAAGGGACAACAAGTGGCAGCCTGCGTAGCGTTGCTTTCTCTCCACCGTACCACATCGAGTGTTTACCAGTGATGAAAAGTTGGTTATGTACGAAACTCCCAAGTGTTCCAGACATTGGTTGTCTCCTCAGGATGCTGTCCCTCACACCGCAAGACCGCCTATGCACCCATGCAAGATTATGCTTTGTGTCTAGTGCACAGGTCATCAAGTGGTTCATTATGAACTGATACCAACGGGCCAAACGGTCACTGGAGACCTATACTCGCAGCAATTGAAATGTGTGCAACAGGCATTGTGCCAGAAGGAGCCAGCACTGGTGAATCACAAAGGTGTGCTTTTCCTCCATGACAACGCCAGGCCGCATGTCATGCGAGTGGTCAGGGATACCATACAGCAACTTGGGTGGGAGACTTTGTGCCATCCACCTTATTCACCTGACTTTGTGCCATCCGATTACCACCTCTTCCACTCCCTGGATAATGATCTTCGTGGGAAATCCTTCACCAATGAAGCAGACTTGCGCAAAGCCCTCACAGATTTCTTTTAAGATTACTGGGTAGTTAAAAATTATATTAAAATGGGTGCTCACATTATATTCCCGTTTATTTTTCTTAATTTTAAGAAATCACATGGTATGAGCATATTTTATTTTGGCATCCCTAGGAGGTTCAATTTACAATTAGTTTACATGGCAAACTGAATCCCTTATTAATTTTTTTTCAAAATTTAATAATTTTTTCCTGGTCTGGAGTAGTTAATCTACAAAAGTATGAAAAAATAATTTGAATAAATGATTATTTTTGGTCACAGTCCTATACTACAACTCCATCCATATTTTATTTAATATAGGTAGATTGCATTAGTTTTAATACAATTGTATTAGTTTTTACAATATTTTACATATAAAATTATTATTGTAAATAAACAATCTAATAAAGTGTTTAATATTTTTGTTATAAATTCTCAAGAACAAAAAATGTATAAATTCATTTTCATCATGTTTAGGTTTTATTACAATTCTAATCATTGCTTTTTCAAATAATAAACATTGTCGAGGAGTGAAGGTAATTAAAATAATAGTATCAAGGGAAAAACATCCTTTGACATTTCTTTTTTTGTGGGCATGAAGGTCCAACATTACCCTTTTTTACGCCAATTGTGAGTTTTTTGGCACAGTTAATGTTAAATAATCCTATCTTTTCAGAGTAATTAATTTATGGAATATTTAATGCAATTTAAAGTACCCTAGTTGAATTTTATTTAAAATTGAAGTAAGCATTACACTTTTAAATGTCCTATTCTGAATTAAGTTCCATTAAAAGCAAAATTTACAGCTTTAAAATAAAGTGTGGTTGATATTTTTATTAAGTCAATAGATATTCTTATAAAAACAAAAATTGCTACTATGTCCCACTAACTTATTAGGGGGACATAGTAGCAGAGAGTACATACATTATTCCTAACTACATAAAAGAAAAAACTACAAGATTCAAATTCAGTATTGTAAAAATTTATTTTTATCAAATTAGAGTTCAACATTAGAAAAAGTTGTTTTTCAAAAAGTTCATTTTTAAAAGTGTGTTTATTTTTTCTGAAAATACCTTCTGCAAGGTTGAAAATTCTCTCAACAGATGCCACTGAGGGTATTACACTGTTTAAAAAGAATTTTCAATTCTGAAAAGTTTGCCACCATTAAAGGATTAAAATCCTTCAATGGTGGCAAACTTGGCAGTGGAATAATGGCTTACCAGGTCTGAAATCTGAAAACTAGAAGAATTTATGTGCAAGATAATAAAATTATAAAAGGTAGTACTCATAAATTAAAATATACAAAAAAATTTATTCTTTATATTAGTTTCATTAAAATTATTTTTCTGTTTGTTTTTTAGGGAGCAGCCAATGCTGTTTTGATGGCCACAAGTGTGATGAAAGTTTCATCCAAAGCAGAAGACTGAGAGGATGATCTGTCTATAGATTTTTTGAAAGTCAATGGTGATTGGTGCAAGTGGAACAAAAATATATATTAATAATATTGTTTATACCCTATCCTTCCAATTGATATTGTCATTTTCCCTGCACATTTTTGCTCTCATCCTTGTATACTTCTCCCTCAACTACCCTTTCCAGATATTGGCTGATCATTTTCTTGTCTGATTATTCATTAGCCAAAATCTTCTCCATTCTTAAATAAAATATCAAGCTTCACTAAATTGTAGTTTTTCTTGTTACACTTTTATAGTCATATGCACACAGTAGTGATTATATCTTCTATTAACATAGTTATTATTGTGGTTCTACACACAATGTTTTTAGTGATTGATTTTTTTTTACAGCTTATGAACTTTTTGCAGGTTATTTAAAGCCAGGGAAATATTTTTAGATTGTAAGAATTTGGGCTGGGGAGATAATCATGATTTACTGGTATATATCATACTAATTAACCTATAGCTGGAGGGAGACGATGTAGAGTCATACATTTCTTGAGGATATTTGCACGTAAGTAAATATAACAAACCCAACTGGAATTGGAACTCAGCTCTCCAGTTTCCAATTCCAAGCTGCTATCTATTTCACTATTGCACATCCAAGCTTACAGCACTTACAGTTACCCATTCAGACACTGACCAGGCTTGAGGTTTATACACAATGTGAGTTATTAGATGGAAGATATGCAATTGTACTTTTGCCTTGCCTTTCATAACTGCAGCAGTTGAAGTATTGTTTTTAATCAAAATAAAGGCCAATATATTAAAGTGAAGTACTAATAAAATTGTAATTAAAAAAATTAGTTTCGTAGTAAATCTGTCAGCACTGGTGATAACAATCTCTGATAGAGATTTTATCTTATGAATTATATATGTAAAAAAATTGTTGACTGTCATTGTGCTTCACTCACATTAATACAAATATGTCAGTTTTAATTAAAAATAGTATGGTTAAATTTCTTTTTATGACTACAAATTTTAATATTAATTTTTGTTTTGTTTTTAACTAAAATTTGAATTATCTGACCATTACATGCTTCTGTTGATAATAATTTTGTCTTCAATCTTTTCTGTTTTGTTAACAACTTGTAATATTATTTATAAGGCATACATTCCCAGAAAGAGAAAATATGAATACCTTCACACCTAAACAAATTCAACATTTTTTTTTTATATATACTACTTCAGAGTTCTGAACATGCTTTAAAACATTTACAAACCACTGAGCTACAACAAGTTATTATCAAAATGGATGTATTTATGAAAGCATATTTTCTCCCTAGCCTCATTCCTGTTTGCTTCACATATGACTCGTTCTTGTTTTGGCAGAAGCATTTTTTAGTTTCTGAGCAAAAAAATCCTTATCAGTGTATTCAGTCACTTTAAGTTTCTTCAATGCACACCTCAAGATAGTTATGATTTTCTATTGGTAGCAAATTTCAAGATATAATTCTTTGTTCGTGAGTTTATATTTATTTCCTTCAAGTATCTGATTGGCTCTTTGATATAAGTTGGTATTATTACTTCAGATATAATCCACATTCTTTATTTACAACAGGTGAATCAATTGTTTTTATGCATTAAATTATGCTGGCAAAATTTTTTATTTCTTTGATACATTAAATAAAAATAAAAGTACAGAAATATTTTATATAGTCTTTTGCTAATAAGACAAGTGTTTGGAATAGACAGATTATAAGAAATAACATAAATATATGGCATGAAGAATTGTATATCTTATCAATGCAGTTTCTAATTTATCCATGATGAGGTCATGATACCACCAGAAAGCAAAAACTTACAATTCAACTGATGGTTTCACTGAAGAAGCTTTGTGAAAATCATAGATTTGTGTCATGTTTCAGTTGGTCAGTTATAATTGATGAACTGAAGCTTGACACAAATTTATCAAGAAATGATAAAGGAACCAACAGTCACTCAAATAACTGGAGAATAACACTTTTGGACATAAAATGAAAGTATGTGACATTTTTGTCTTTCATGAACAGATAACTAAAGACCCAATTGTTTATTGACTTTAAATGGTCTTTTCTCTTTCATGAATGATACCATACTGAATTTGATACATAAGCATATTTAAAGTCCTGTTTGTAGAACTGAATATTACATCTAATGATATTACAGATTTTTAAAAAAATAGACTATGTGAAAACAGTAAAGGGCAATTTGAAATTACTATTTTTTGGTTGTTTTTAGTGAGGTTATTGTAGTTGGTTTCATCAATCTAATACCTGAACCTCAGAATATTTGTCTAGTAATTGGGTAAGATATTGTAATTGTAATCAATGTGCCTTGATGAAAGAATACATTTATTGTATTCAGTAAAATGATATGATTAAAGAAAGACTAGTAACCAACAAAATATATACATCTTGCAAATGATTAATGTGATGTTGCATACCCACTTCATTCTGGAGAGGTCTTTTAGTTGATGGGGTCAATTCCATAATGAAGCTGCATTCTTCTCTCTCAGCCATCTTCTCCCAGTCGGGTGATCGCTAGTTGGTTTGTTCAGAGGTAAAATGAGAACTTCAACAAAAGGAATTTTAAACTTATCTACTTATTAAACACGTCGACGTGTACATTTTTAACTAGCCAGTGGGGTTATTCTATCACTCCCACTGGGGAGCAAGTTCCCAGGGATACGAAATAACCACGTCTAATGTGTATGACATGTAAAAATTTAACTCACTGAAAACACTTTCTATCTCTCTAACATTTTCCACGTTCATCCAATCAAAGTCAAGATCCTTATTTTGTTTACTATCTGACCTCAGAAAATCTGGGTCAAAATACACTGCCACTGAAAAATAATAGTTTGAAACTTTTATTTAACAGTGATCGACAAAGTATATATCATACTGATATGGCATTAACTATTGAACATATTTTAATTGATCAGCAAACATTATAAAAGTGTATTTTGTACACAAAAAATATGAAAAAGGCTTTCTTCTATATTTTCCATGCCCATTCATGTGTTGGAAGTGGCTGCAACCCATATTTTAGAAGTAGTCTTAATTTGAAACCAGAAATTCTGTCACTATTTGACCCAAATTATTTGAAATTGAGAAACTGTGTCCTTTTTTCAACCTCTCTTTCTCTCTCCATTCTACATCCAAATAAAAACAAAGGCTTAAGTTTTTACTCCTGGAGAATTTTTGATTATGTTACAAAGTAAGGAAATAAAAACATAAGTAAAAACAATAAACTTCAATTGGTCCTCTTCTTTGACATTCAACTCTGCTGACAAATAACTGACTTTTAGCTGTGCATGGGCAGTGATCACTTCATCTCAATAATTTATACTTTTAAGCAAATAAATCTTTAGACAAAAATATTTTATTACAATATCTTCATGAGGATTTTATACTAAGTTACATTGAAACCTGAAGACAGTTTCTTCAATAGTAATTTGTAGTTATCATAAATAAATAATGAAATTAAGAAATAAACTGATTGTGAGCAATTATTTTTATATTTATTATTTATAGAAATTTGAAACATAATTTTTGTGTATTGAAGAAAAATATTTAAAACAAATTATTGACTCAACCTGATTCATTTCTGTTATGATTGGCTGTAAAGTTTCTTTATCTCAAACTATTTCAATATCAGAGCTGAAAGTAATTTTGCTAGGAATGTAAAAATGAGATAGCAGAAGAAATGGCTGTTTTCAGCATAAATAACAGCATTCATTTTCTCTTTGCTTTTTATGTCAAAGGAATTGTGGTGAAAGACTTCAGGAATTTCTACAGCTTCTTTTGTCAGATATATCTAAAATGAACACTCTTGAGCCTAAATGCTTGCAGCTTCATTCAATGATTGCTTTGTTCACTAAGTATTTCTAAGATTTCTGCTCAAAACAACTTCATTCTTTTTGCAACAATAAAACAACTGTGAAGTGTAAAATCAGAAAAGCTGTTTATACTACATAATAATCAGTGTAGTGTTATGTGTTGATAATTGTAGCAAAGGAAAAAATGATTTACCACAACACAGAGCTAAATCACATACAAATATTTAATTTACTAAAACAGAACATAAAATATATACAGGATAAACAATTGTGGCCTACAAAACAGAAAACACAGAGTTACTGGCAAGTGTTACGAGGGAGAAGGAAAGGGAGTCAAATATCTTTATCACTTTAGGGCTAGTGAAGTAATCTAAGTGCTATATTTGGAAATCCACAAAGGTGTGTAAATAAATATTAATTTTTAGTTTGGTCAATGAAAATTAGTCAAAATTCTATTTACCAAATTTGTTCCATGAAATTCTCTTTTGGGTTTTGGTTGGTCGGCAACTTTTTATAGAGATTCTTTCGGCTGGATATAATAGTCCTTGAATCAAAAAAATTTTTTTTGATAACAGCAGAAATTCCTTTTTATCAACTAACTACCCTTTTCCAAAATCCCATTTTTATAGGGGCTAACACCTAATTTGCATATTTCTAGATGTTTCTCGAATCATCTAGATTTTTCTCGAATATACTAGAATGATCTAGAATCTTCCAAACATTCTATTTCTAATTTCTCTATTTTACAACTACTTCATGAATGAAAACTTTTTTGTAATAACAAGTAGAACTCCCTTCTTATAGAAATGCATCCTCGTAACAGTAGAATGAAATGGTTGGAATTCTTTCCATCTTTGAATATCCTTGACATTCAAACTTTTTCAGTCAACTGAGAACAAGTACTGAAAATTTTGTTAAAAAGGTTTGATCAGTGATAATACTAATTTTCAGAAATATTCTGTAGTTTTAGATACAGAAAGTAATTGTATTTATTTTTATCAGTAATAATAATAATAATAGAGAGATAGTTTCTCCATTTGTTTTATACAACAGATAATACTTGGTTCCAAATTTAAATGGATATCAAGTTTATACTATTTTTAAGAAACATTAATTAGCACAACAGATTGAGCCAACTTTCCTAGCAGCA